AAACATAGTGTGCCAAGTTTGAAGGCACTGCTATTATTTTGGTTCACGTTGTTTTGACAACTTAAATACATATAAATCACAATCTATTAATGATGTCTTTGTTATTTTCATCTATATATATATGTAAAGGTTGGAAAAATGTAGTATGTATTTAATTTTGTAAGTAAAAAACACCAGTACATTCTCAGTATACAATCGTTATTTTATTAGAAGTATTAACATCAAATACAAACGTGGAACTACATATGTTTGAGAACTTGCACCATAGTTTGTCACCTGAATAGACCGGGTTTCACCAATGATCTTTCACATGGCTGCCAAACATTAGTGGTTGTTGCATTATCAGTAGACCAGAGTTCAAATCCTACCAGAGGTTGATCACAAAAATGTTCGACCCCACACTGGGCGTGATTCGTTCACTGACGAATGCGACTTTGATTGAGGATAGCAGGTGTCTTTGTTCGAGGGCCTGGTTAATGATTTAGTTGTCGTGACTGCGAAAGAAATCCCGACGGGATTTATTTAGCGGTCAGTTAGTTTTCGCGATCACGCTAAAAGGACTGAAAAAAAAACAGTTATTTCTTTTTGTAAAATAAAAAAGAAGTTCCTACTTTGCCAGTCTACAACTTTATGTGCACGTGTTGCAATATGAAACTTCTCGTCTTACTCATCATGCATTTTGTAAATTGATTATTCTGAAATTCACCATGCCATAAACTACAACGTCTGTCTTTTTCTAGATAATTATGTTTCTATTCTATGTTTCTACAACTATTCAAGAGTGTCTTTGTTCCTACTTTCACCCAATTCATCATTTGTTTTTACGTTAACAGGCACTTTTACTGTGTGTATGACCGGTATCGGTTTTGGCGCCAGACTAAAATAAAATGGGGGATTGACGCTGTTCAACAGAGCTTTGTTCTCGCCCTTCTCGCGTTGATAGTCTCTCCACCACGACGCTAGAGCACACAAGGCAGATCCAAGAAAAACCAAACTAGCTCCCGCAATGGAAAACTGATTCGGAATCTCATTTAGCACAAAGGTTTGCAGAAAAAATGCGACAAATAGTTGGATATTTGCTAGTAAAACGATGGTTGTCGCCTCTTCCAACTGTAGTGCCCGGAATCGACATGCATCACCCAAAGTGTTGGTAATAACTAGTCCAATTGTATGTAACGCCATTCTTGTACTCATTGACCATATCGGATGTTCCACCGTCAGAGTCAAAATAATTGATAAAATAGAACCAATTACACCAACATAAAGCAAAACTATCAAGACATGTGTACGTTCACCTAGATATCTTGCTGACACATACGCAAGAGACCACTGGAATGCGGAAAATATAGATAACAGATAAGAGACTAGCTCGCTAGATGTGACATCATTAGTTCGGCCCTCAGCTCCAAATATTCCCACTGGTTGCGCCAATAACAGTATACCAGCGATATTAATAGCAATGACAATTCCATCGACAATGTGAAGAGTTTCTCGTAGTATCATCAATGCTAATAGTGGCGTGATGACTGGCATTCCGCCACGTGATATCCCTGTAACATTTGCCATGGGTCCTAGGAGTAACGCGTAACAAAATGCGGAAAACCCCCCGAAATAGAGAACGGCAACGATCGATAACACCCCTCGTTCAGTGTAACTGTCTCCTGTTATTTTCAGTCGTTTGTAAGTTATAAACGGAATGACGCCAATAAACATTCCGATATCCATTAAGAATACTATCTGAAATGAGGGCATCGCTCCTTCCCGTTGAACTACGTCGATCCAATAGGCTGAAAATGCCAGGAAAATACCGGCTAAAAGCCCAAAGGTAACACCTCGCATTGAATGCAACACCATTATACATCGTGACATCCGCACAGTGTACGGCTTTTGATTGACTGGATCCGATGATTGCGGAATCGATGGGGATGCTTCTGATGACATATCAGCTGCCTTGGCTTTCTCGGTTGACTGCATCGTTGTAGTTGTTGTGGATTGACGTGTCGTCTTGCAAGAGTAAATATTACAAACGGCATTACGCACAGTATCCTCCGTTATGGAAGATGCCTACATAGCCACCATATTGTTACTGTCAACCCAAACCAATCTATCGACTCAGCAGATTATATTAAAACTATTCCAAAAATAAATGAGTTTAGGGCGTCGTCATTTTAAATAACTCGATGCAGGTAATTTAGAAAAAAACAACAGCAGATAAATATGAGCTGACGCACGTTTTTAATATTCACTTGCTGTCAAACAACATAACTATTATGATCATCATTTTATAACCGGGAGTTAAAGTAACATTAATTTATATTTTTGCTTGTATAAAGCACTGTCAGATAATTTAGAATATCCGTAAAATGATCATTGAAATGTATGATTACTTGTAAATATTTGTTATTAATGGTAATATTGACTAAAAATTTAGCCACAAAAGACCGTATTCTCGTTAGCTTACAATCTGGACATTTGAAAAGGAGCAAGTGTATTTTTAGGCACAGTGTACATTGTATTTATAATAAATTATTAACATTTAAATAAGACCCCTGCTAAAATGGACTCCTGGTAGCAAAATAAGAATGACATTCCAAATCAGGAGATATACAGAAGATCCGCTTTTTAAAAGGAATATTTGAATTTTTAGAAACATTTGGCTGATTGCATTTCGTGTATATCAGTGTAGTCATTCATATCATGTCTAAAAATAGTATGACGACGTCATCTGTTCATTTCCATGCCAATATTAACCGAAAACACAAAACTGACAACAATCGAAAAAGATAACAAAACAACAAACAAGTACATTTCATATTATAGTCATATAAGTTGTCACAGTGTAAGGCCTGCTTCTAGCAATTGCGATAAGCAGACCTTACATTATGACATAGGTGTAAGAATGATAGATTGTATACATGAAGTGATGGCAGGTGATTTGAAATAAGGAACAAAGTTCTGTCCCACATGCGGCACCTGGAATTTATTTTGATAAATCATAATCAAATTGGTCTGCATAAAACAAGTTGACATTGAAGGAATCTTAGTCAATTATGTATTGTTACATTTGCAAAAGAACAAAGAACACTTTTAAAAGTTATTTGCTTCAATAGTTTGGTTTAAAAAGTTGAATAATTCTGTAAAGGTGTGGAAAAACGCTAATAGTAACTTTTAATATGAACTTAACTAATAGTAAATTTTACCTAAAGTTAATCAGGCACCTGATCCATGGTAGAAGCCATGGGAGGGCGATGTCATAGTATGCAGCTCAAACTAATCAAGAGGCATGTAAAGTTATTTATAACACCATCGATAGTACAGTGGCATACAGAACAGAGAGACGATGCGACTTTGAAGAAGCTGTGGTAGACGGCCACTTAGAAGAAGGTCATAAAATCAAGAGGACTAGTATGGAAATATGTCACAGTGTAAGACCTGATTATTGCTAATGAGAGGGCACACACATAACTCACACTGGAGAGGGGGTTATTTCACTGCTAGTATGGGGTAGACAAAACAATAGTACTAGAAATGAAATACACATACACCAAAATATCAAGTTAAGGTTTCTGGATTTAATACCACTCAAAATAATTATAAAAAACAAAGCACGAAAAATACAATGAATAGATTAACTAAAATAGGGGATTGCCTAGAGAAGTGTACATTGGTGATAACTCACAGTCCAGGATGTGGGAATTGATGACAGTCAGTGGCTTCTGCGATGCAACAACAAAGAAATACAGGAGTCGTGCTTCAGAGGAACTAAATCAAACCATTCAAACCATCAATTGAATATAATAATTACAATAGCCGTTGAGTTGAAGTTCTGTATTTCTGACAGGTGATCTGTATCAAATTCACTACCGATTTCAGGTCGTTTTATGAGGTATGAATCAAACAGTTCGGACGGTCAACTATATATAACAAATCCTTTACTCAAAAATACATCCCCGACGGAAAATTGAACCCCAGTCTTCCGCATGACAGGCGGAGATACTCACTACTATACTCTCGAAGAATTACCTGAACAAACTTTAACACACACGATTTTCAGTGATCTAATGCTCAATTTCTCTATCTGTAACAGTCTTCATTGCAACATGTGGAGATAATCACAACGTAACGATCGATTAATTGCGTAATGTTCAGGGATTTCAAAGTCACCAATTCATTGAGTTGAAGAATTCTGTATTTGTGACAGGTGAATCTATCTCAGATTCATTACCGATTTCAGGTCGTTTTATGAGGTATGAATTAAACAATTCGGACGGTCAACTGTATATAACAAATCATTTACTAAAGAATACCTCCCCGACGGGGAATTGAACCCCGGTCTTCGCGTGATAGGCGGAGATACTCACCACTATACTTTTTCTTTTATTAAAAGACAGACCAACTGGTCTGCCTTGTTAAAAATATATGTACAGAGCTAAAAAGAATACAACACATAAACTTTCATCAAATAATATTTACATTTATATAATATTAACATAAGTCTCATTTTTCAAATAATTTCAAGCGATTGTGTAAAGGATGATCAGGCAAATTTTAATTTAGAAAGTGACAGTGAAATTATCATTTGTGGCTGTCTATATTAAGGGTTCATATCTACATTTAAACAGTATAATTTCATTGCGGTATGCAAACATTCTGTGTTCTAGTGCCATTTTATGAATTAATTTATTTTTGAAGACATCAATAAGAGGTATTTTGTGTTGAGAATTGTTAAATATTTGGCGTCGAATTATAATGGTATAGCGGGTAAGGGACAAGGTAGTTTATGAGGCCAGTGTTTATAAACTTGTCATCAGAGGTAAATTAGCTGAATAGTATAATGGTGTCTGTATTTGAATCAAGGACGATATCGGGTATTTTTTTGAGGAGATGGAAAATATATTGCCAGAAGGGCTGTATAATGTTACATCTCATTAGCATATGTACAAGATCTTCATTACTTACAATTGTTGCAAAATTGGCATAAAGGACTATCAGACAAATTACCTTTGAAGTAAATATGATAACCGAGTGCGTTACTGCACTCGTGACCGGGACCTCTATGCTCCATGCGGTGTTGAAGTTTATCGGTAAATCGAACCTCTGTCAACAGAGACACATTTTCCCAATCAGCTATTTATTTCGGTACTGAAGTCAGGGTGGCAATTTCAATGTTTAGCTACCGTAATTTATCTCCATTATGAGCAGGAAAATAAATTACGGACCTCGATTGAGATGGATTTAACGGCGGCCATGTTTTTAAGGGATATGTGAAACAATATTAGGGAGGGGGTCAAATTCACGTAATCCTCAATTTTAATGATGTTGACTTAATAGTCATAATTTTTTTTTCAAAACTTCGGATATTATTCTATATATTTTAATACAACTACAATATGTTAATTAGTATGCAAATTAACATGCAAATTAGCAGCCAATCTGAGACAATGCAATCCAGTTCAAAGGAAATTTGATTACATGATCACTACCTCTGCTGATTAGTTTCTTCTATCTGCTTTTATATTAAATGTATTTTTTTGTATTTTTCTCAATAGTTTTTTTTCATTTTTTTGTTGATAGCTTGGCATCCATTTGGTTCAGCTTAAGTGGCTTTTTGCACATTCTTAATCCCGTGAATATTAATTTGACAACTTTGTAGAGTGGAAACAGACTGTTGAATTAGTTCATCCTAGATTTTGGTAGAACATGTTTAAAATAGTACAGTGTGAACTACAATTTCTTTCTGGCTGGTATAAATTTATTAAGTAATATTTTTTCGTACTAAAAAGACTCAAATATCTTTTTTAATTCAATCTAACAGCCAATGGAAGCACATTTGCTACAACCTCTGCTTACTTTGGGCTAAATGTTTTTTTTTTCAGGTGCATAGCCAGATTTTTTTTTCTCAGAAAGCAAAGCCACTGGAACAGCATGTATTACAAAAAACATACCGGTACTATTCACTGTGTGTCTGACAATTGCATAAAGTTTCGCAGGTCCTCTGTTTTTTACTTTGAGAAGTTCTGTCAACCAAAGCATAAATATGTGTTTTTCTGTACATAAAATTTCACACGATTTGTTAATATTAATGTATGATAATAAAAACTTGATAATATTTTTATGGATTTTTGCACTTTATTTGTATCATTTTCGTATGAGAAGTAATCTTGTCCCTTTAAGAGATATTGAAACTAATCCAGGGCCAAAAACTAGTTTACCCAAACAGACACAACACTGACATATTTGCAGATCTGATTTGTATACTTCCTTGTCATTTTACCTGTTGTACTGGTTTGGTGCTATCTGATTTCCTTGCTGAGAATAATGCTGACCTGGATGGAGAGTGCTATAAACTTGAAAATGCCATAGAAATCACGTTTGCCAATTTATGTCCATGCAACTTTAGAATGACAACTAGCGAAGGCAGTGTCATTCATGACTTGTTTTCATTAATTTTTGCCCCAGAGATAGCCCCATAATTGTTGAATGTTTCCAATGATGCTAAAATTGATTGGTCATCGGAGAGAGTGAGTGTTGATACACTAATGACATTCTATCATAACAGGGAAGTGGTATGCCTTTAATTAGGGGATTGGATTTAATCAGTGTATTCAGGGGCTCAATGGTAACGATGTAAAGCATGGCAGATATAGGACATCCCTTTCTGACTGCCCGAGTTACAGGAAATGGTTTTGTGAGAAATCCGTTACACTTGACCCTACTTTGGATATCTTTATATAGGATTGATATCCATTGTCTAAAATTATGGCCGAAATTATATAACTTTAAAATATTTAATAAATAGTTATGGTCAACACGGGCGAAAGCCTTCATTTGGTATAACTTTTGGTCATTTGCATAATTGATTAAATCACATATACAGAATACATTATCCACAATATCTCTTCCTGGGACGCAGCATGACTGGTCCTAAGAGATGATCGTGCCGATAACTTTTCGTAAACGTGATGCTAATAATT